TGACAGAAATAAGATTCTCCTACTGGACAGAAAGATGGGATTCAGATTGTATTTGTGTGTGTATTTTGAGAATCACCAAGCCTGATGCAATGTCCTCAACTTACCCTGAACTCTGCTCTTGATATTTGAGCTGATTAGTTTTCCTAGGTGTTTGATGTTGACTGTTGCATCTGCACCTGTGTGATAATTGTTTTCTGGATGAATATATAGGTTGTGATCCAAGTGAAATGTGGGAAGACCCCCACATCACTAAAACTCTTCCCCCTCCCTTCCCAGCCGTCCTTTATTACCTCAGCATGAATCACTTTTCTAAAAGCTACTAGTATGTCCTAGTTTTATCAAGGGATATGTGGATATTTTATCATGCCAGCTGTTTAAAGTTCCTACAACTCAACAAAGTGATCTGTGTCCTTGCTTTTATCACTGCTCAATCTTCCCAGAACAAAGGAAGGGGCAGCTGTTATAAAACAAAAGCGGTTTGAAACTGCACCCAGGTTTGAACAACCATTTTAAGAATAGCTGTTTTCAGACAAGGGTTTCATTGCATGACGTGTTATTGCACCCACCCCTGACTCCGAGGGGTGCAAGATTCCAGGGGTTCTGGACGCTTGCCCAGGGTTCGCTTTTCTTGGAATGAGGGACAGCAGGGACTGTGGTGTCTTTAGGATATAAGGTCTATTTACAGATATATATAACCTGAGCCTACGTTGGAGGGGCTTCCAGCATTAACACCCCAAGAGGGTCTTACTTCTCTGATAGCCACAGCCTTGGATTCCAGCAGAATCAGGCATGGCCTTCTACAGCTCTCCCTGCCTTCTACAGCTTCTACCAGCAAGTTGAGGGAAAGGGACTCACCTATTTTTCATCTGGTGCAAAGACACTTCCTTTGATACCTTAGTGGTCCATACATAGAAGGCCATTACCTCTTAGAGGGCCATTGTCTTGGCCCTCACAAAGCCTGCCAGTACATTACTCTAGCTTCTATGGGCAACTTTGGCCTGGGAGGAGTCATTCAAACCCCTCCAGCAGCACCTTTGCCAGCATCTTTGCAGCCACACCAACCATCCCAAGGCCATCATTGGGGAAATTTCTATTAAGGTTGGCCTTCTCTGTTCTGCTCGCTCCATGTTGAGGCCTTTCTAGGTACACAGACTGTTCTTTTTAAAAAAATTTTTTATAGTTTTCATTTATATACATTTCAATAGCTTAACAATAGTTGTAACATTTCGAACTTCAACTTCCTCCTCTTTCTGTGGTTCCTTAAATATCTTTTTATCATTTCCTGCACATTCTAAATTGACTTATTCCTTTATTCATCTATTTTGAATCATAGAATCATAGAATCATAGAGTTGGAAGAGACCACAAGGGCCATCGAGTCCAACCCCCTGCCAAGCAGGAAACACCATCAGAGCACTCCTGACATATGGTTGTCAAGCCTCTGCTTAAAGACCTCCAAAAAAGGAGACTCCACCACACTCCTTGGCAGCAAATTCCACTGTCAAACAGCTCTTACTGTCAGCTCATTTTGATTCTATATTCTTTTGAAACTGCAGGTTATTACAATAATCCTGACAATGTATTTATCTGTTTCATATTTGTTTGTAAATAGTCAACAAACCATTTCCATTCTTTTGTAAAAAAATGTTATCTTGATTTTTTATTCTTCTGGTAAGTTTCGTCATTTCTGCATAGTCCATGAGTTTTTGTATCCATTCTTCTCTCACTGGGACTTTTTCTTCTGACTGTTCTGGCCCAGTTGTTCCACCAGCAGCTCCAGGGCTCCACTCCACTGGGCTCATCACCCTCAGCCGTAACTCGTGGCCCTCCTGGTGATTCAGCCCAGCAGTGTCTCAATAGCGATATTCAATTACACCCCTGACAGGGATGATTTGGTGTGCAGTGTATGGCGAATGCCATCTTTTGTCCTGAGGAACAAAGTAAACATGAGAAACAGCTAGCCATGCCTGTGGGGGCAAATACAGTGGACGCTTGGGTTGCGAACGTGATCTGTGCAGGATGCACGTTTGCAACCCGCAGCGGCATGGGTTGCAATTCAGCGCTTCTGTGCATGTGCAACCACCAAAACCCGGAAGTAACCCATTCCGGTACTTCTGGGTTTCGGTAGTCCGTAGTCCAAAAAAATGCAACCTGAAGCGTCTGTAACCTGAGGTATGACTGTATAACCTTTGTATGCTCGACATCACCATTGTCCCACCTCCACGATTTGCTGTTCCTGCATACAGCATTCAGCCACAGACATGGTGTCCCTGAATGAGTGAGTGCCAAAATGCTTAGGTGCCAGACCCTCCCTTTACAGGCACCACTGCAGTACAGCCTGAAACTGATGTCAAGTAAGGGGTGAGGTTAAAAAGAAGAAGAAGAAAGTAGGGGGAAGAGACCTTTAGATACAATTTTCATGCTGTATACATGCTCCATGTGTTTTTGGCTGGACTCTGGATTATACATGCCAACACATTGTGTGAAAGCTGCAACATTTCTGACTCAAGAAGATCAGGAAGTGCTAAAACTCTTAAAGTACCACCTCTTCCAAGGGACTGTCCAGTGCACTTTTGTAGACTGAAAGAGCTTGGAACAGCACCTGTGCTTATTTATGGATCTATATCTGATGTGTCTGCTCATCTGTTTTTCAACCCACCAACACAAAGAGTGATTTTGAAAGTGAGCAAAGGTCACACTGGAGAAATAATGTTTAGTGGTGGAAAAAGAAAATTCCATTTATGAATGAGTATTCTGCTTGTATTAATGGTATGGAGATATTGCCAGTGGCGTAGCGTGGGTTGTCAGCACCCGGGGCAAGGCAAGTAATTTGCGCCCCCTAACCCGTGGATTTGCGCCCCCTAACCTGTGGATTTGCCCTAACCCCAGATGTTGCACCCGGTGCGGCCGGCCCCCCCTGCACCCCCCACGCTACGCCACTGGATATTGCTACAGTGGAAGCCACTAGATAATGCAAGAAGGCACACAACCATTTATTTACAGCGATAAGCATGTTTCTGTTGAAACAAACTTTGGTTGACAGCCAGTTTTTCCACGGTGAGAAAAGAGCAAGTCAACTTCCCTGTCTGTATCCCTTGTGGTCAGTTCAATGACACAAAGTGGTAGTGTCCGTTTTGCATTTTTTGGTACAGAAAGTATTGGTTTAAAGTGCAGAGATCTTTTCTATTCTAACTAATTCAAGGGGGTTCTGGAAGCTTCTCTGTGTGATACAAGCTGGTGCAAGCAGGAAGTTTCTAGCTAACAAGCAAGCAAACAAGCTTCTATTCTGCCTAGAAACAAGCAGAACGATCCTGATGTTTTGGTTATTCCTTCAGAGAAGCTG